TTTTTTTTCAAGGAGAGACGATTTTCTAACTTGACCCCGGTTATGTCATGCATTTTCTCTTGTAAAATACATCCAACAGCGTACATTCAACTCAAAAAGTACGGTGGTTTTTTTCAATAGAATTTAATCTAAAACCATATAATACAGTCCGTGAATAGTTGAATTAACTGAATCCACTTCTGTTTTTTGCCTAGATAGTCATTATTTTGAGAAAATATCCCAAAACCGTGTTTTTGAGACATAATTTGTATGGGCTCACATGAGGGGGCGTGTACTTGAAATCGTAGCTCCGACCAAATGTTAACAGATTTTTTCTAATGTTACAATTAACTCAGCCCAACACGATATAGTTTGAATCAATGAACGAAGAATAATCAATGGGAATTAACAGTGGAGTCCCAGTCCGCAGAGTTGCTCTTCTTCCATTGCAATTAAGAAGTTGATATTTACGAAGGGAGCAGAACCGAAAAACCCTCGAAGTTCTGGCGGGAACCAAGAAGAACCAAGAAGTTCTGTCTGTCTGTCTGTCTGTCTGTCTGTCTGTCTGTCTGTCTGTCTGTCTGTCTGTCTGTCTGTCTGTCTGTCTGTCTGTCTGCTATTTTTGGGACGCGAACCAGTGTCGCATTGATGAGTGGCGAGGGCTTTCACTAATTTTGAAGGAAACATATTTTTCTTTCAATTTAATTCGCCGTCACTCGGTTAGCTTTGTGGGCAAGAGCGTCGGTCAATGTGCAGGAGGTCGTGGCTCAAGTCCCGGCCGGACCAAAACTCAAGGTCTTAATTACTCTCAGGGACAATAATTACTGAGGAGAAGGGGCAGCTGCATTTGCATCCTTCAAGTCTTCAAGTCTTCTTGTATAAGGACGTAAAATAGTATGCTCTTTCTCCTAACAAGCAAATCATGATTCGAAGTTGCACGCCTGCCTATATTCATTTATTTATCAGCTTATTTATAAGGGCAGGAACACCAACAAGAGCTTTACTTTGGTAACTACAGTGGGCCCTGTATTGTTTAGCACGGGCATCGAAGATAGTCGTCAACAGCGTCTTCAGTAGATCTCTTACGTCCGTCTTACATACAGGGTCATATAGAGAAGACACAAGGGACCTTTGGTTTTAAGTCCTTGTCCGAGAAGACTTGAAGGTCTAACCATTTTCAGGTGTAATTACAAAGGTAGCAGTTATTTCAGTTATTTTAAGGCCCTGAGTGCTGGTTCGGCCGATGCTTGAACCCGCCACAACCTCCTGCAGAACAGACCCACGCTCTCAACAACTGAGCTCATTGGGTGGCGGTTTAACATACAGCGTCTTAATATGAAGCCCATAAAGTCCTCCACTGGGCATAAAATTCTAAGCGCATTGGGACAATTTTTTTTTTCTGGTGGTCTATGCTGTTTTATTTATCAATTAATTATTATTATTATTATT